AACCAAGGCTGATCCACAGAGACCCTCCCTGCAACTATCAGGACCAAAAGGATCTGCTGCCAACATTCCAGTGCCAGATTTCCACAGCGTACCTCAGGAGGTCTGTGTTCATGCCCTGATGGGTCCAAGCTGTTTTGGAGGTCTGATGTATCAGGTGCTATAGCCTTCCCAAGGACTCTGTTGGACACTTTTTTTGGGCTTATTTGGGAGTTTGGGCTAATATGTTAAAATTTTTTCTCTATTTTCAGCATCACGACAAACAATGGTAATATGTTTGGTTCTAGAAGAAAATGGTAGCCTTAGAAAAACGCCTTTTGTTGGTTTTTCTTTTACTCTTTTGTTACCGTCTTTGTTACGATGTTTGCTTTACTTCCCCAACTCTGGCTAAAAGCAGTGCGCCGCTGCTTTCCTGAGTCTTTGATTGAGTCATCCAGTCAGGGCTAACTCTGATATCACAACTCAAAAGATAAATTACAGGAGAAGTGTAGTCCTGTTCATAAGAGAAACATTGAAGGAAGCTGTCAAAGATCGAGAACACAAAGCTGCTTGAGACTGAACACAGACAAACTGTGTTTTACCGTCAACCATTTCAACATTTGATCAGAGCTCAGCACACACCGAATGTGTTGTTTTTGCTTGCAAATAGCCCCCACCCCATCTTCCTGTAACACTGCTGTTTTGCGTTTCCCCACTTTGTAAGCAAACGATAACTGATACAAGCCCAGAAGCAGATGACTGTTCTTTGGCTCTCTCCATCACAACTAGAAATCAGCATGTCGTTGTGTGTTCTCACAAAGCAGTGTTTGGTTCAGATTTTTCCTTATGAACCTCTGCATCTCTGTTTCATAATGGGGCTATCTAACCCCTCCTTCTGGAGTTTGCTTAAGCTTCATCAAAAACCATTAGTTCCTACACACACAGCCACAGTGGGTTTTTGTAAATTGCTGACAAAGAAATCACTTTAATTCTGCATCGAAGTATGCCAGCAAAAAAGAGAGCACCGGAATAACAAGCAGACACACATCTATACACAAACACACACACACACTCTCATTAAGGAGCACGCTAGATAAAGGCTCTTGTTCAGAGATATGTACGCTTATGAACATGTCAAACAAAGACGCAAACAAACCTATGTGGTTTCCAAAAGTATACAGACTGTTCCATAAATCATACACATGCCATCACACAAACACAAGCACAATGCAGCTGAAAATCACTGCTTATTACTTTGTCTGTACTGTAGCCTAGCTGCCAGGCTCCCCTGAGGTTGCAGTAATTGACTTGTCCAGTCCCTCCTTTCAACACGTTTTTCTTCCTCCGCTTCTTCTGTCCGGTGTTTGCCAGAGGGACCGAGCTGACACACAAAAGATATTGGCCACATTGTCAAAACTTACGAGTGAACAAAACTCTCTCGCTGTAATGAATCCTGCCACAGTGCCTACGCCGGTTCAACTTTTAATATCCCAAATGTCCACTTCCACTGCTCTCTATAATAAATTGTAAATGCACGTCATGCTTCAAAAAGAACTTCCACTCTCTCACACGTTCATAGGACTTTCTTGATCTGTCGAGCTTTTCTTGCTGTCACTGTAAAGTGTTGCAGGGGACTTTTGCAAAATTTTTATTACTTTTTCTTGTTGATGAGGCCCGTTGTTGCTGAAGTGTAACTAAATGGATTGTGGATCATGGGTTATGGAAAATGCCTTTAGAAGTAAACGTCACACATTAATTATGCTAGGTGAGTTACAGGGGGGTATCATATGGATAAATGAAAAACTTTCAGTGTTAATTCACCTAGATTTGTATGTTCTGCAACTTAGATTGGAAGCTGGTTCCTCTGGTTTTCAAAGCAGTGTTTTCACACAGCTCGTTATCAGGCATCAGCTTCTGGAGCTGAGAAATGTGCCAAAAAATTCAGTTCTCTATTGGACACTTGAGGCTGGCTCTGAAAGCGTTGCAACCCCCTTAAACGTTCACGTTAAAATGACATTTAAAAAAAAAAAAAAAAAAAAAAATCAGTTCCTTGTAAATGGTTCTTATATTGTGCTTTTCAACTCTTAATACTCAAAGTGCTGTATACAGCTTGCCTTATTCACCCATTCATACATGCACTTTTTCTATGCTTTTTCTACCTAAAGGCTTTTCTATTTACATTCACACACCTTTATACTCCGATGAATGCATCAGAGAGCGACTTTGGATTAATATCAAGGATATTTGTCGTGCAGACTGGAGAAACCAGGGTTTGAACCACCAACCCTCCAATTAGTAGAAGACCTGCTCTACCTGAGCTACAGCTTACCAAAAGTGTAAAGCTCCTGGTATTCCCAGGTGGTCTCTCATCCAAGTACTAACCAGGCGCAACTCATTTAATTGAATTATCTGACAAATAACATTGCTTTAAGTGTCATAGAGCCCATCCGTGAAGGTTGTTCTTCAGTTTTGATGAGTGAAATTATTCTTAGTCATATGTGTTTTGATAGATTAACATACCAGAGTGCTGATCTTAGCTGTCTTATGTCAGCAAAGAAAACCTTGCACACATTTTTCTGTGACAACATGAGCCTAACTGTAATTTTTTTTCTGTCATCCTCCATTGGTGACATCATGACTTCTCCTGCCTTGACAGGCCATATGTACACTCTAAAATTATACACTAAATGTGTTTTGAGTCTGGGCAGATGCTTTTTCTATTAGAGGTTGAGGTGATAAAGTTCTCAAAATTAATATTAGTAGCTGCCAGGATCATACTGAGGAGGAGTTTTCTGAGCATTTCCCTCTTCCTCCTCTTCTGTCATTTTGAAAAACACGTCTCTCTCCTTGGCACGGTTTCTCAGCACTAAATAAATTAAACTGAGCCTCTGACTGTGGAATCAAATAAAAATGATGCAAGTCTGATACTTCACTGACATTAAAAAAAAAACATTTTGCACAAGTATGATATTAAAGTGTCAGGGACATTAGCTGACAGTAGTTTAGCTGAGATTTTTTACACTGAATATAAAAGACATCAGGTCTTTCACTTGGGTATTTTTTCCCCCTATTCTTGTAATTAATGAAGCCTAAACCAGGGGAAACCATGTGTAACCTGTTAGTTTCTTTTGGATTCACTAATTAAGTCAGTCATGCACCATACAACACTTGTAAACTGAACTTAATAACCAGTTTGCAGCATACATGGCAGCACTCCAAAGCAAGAATTTTTTAATCAGCATCACCTGTCATGTTTCAGTTCTGCTCTCTGAATCATTCCAGGTAGGTGTGCTTTATAGTACAAGTAGAATAGTTTTACTTTTTTTTTTGTTACTTTGTTACTAGTAGCTGGCTGCAAATGTTGCAAAACATATTATGTGTTCCCATTTCTTTAGCTGGATTAAAAAGAAATGTCAATGCTAACACAGTTTGGGAGGCATAAAATAATATTTTTGGGCCAACAAGGTGATTACTAAGAAGAATCAAAAACGTGGTGTATCTGAGCATGCTATGTAGTTTGTCTTAATTGGTCAAGTGGAGGACAAAAGACAAAGTGGGCAAACCTAAAAATCCAATAAAGACCTGACAGAGAACCTGTGAGATGCATCTGGACCTCTAGCTGATTTATCTGCTGTTCATCTGCTCCTTATCAGAAGTGATGTCAGGCAACGCAGTTTAAATTCAAATAACTTTGTTTCAACTTTTGTGCATCTTTAGTAGGTATGGTTGACAGCAACAAGACTGAGCTCTGGGGCTCTATTTTACAATGCGATAACACTCCTCTTTGTAATAAAACAGAATACTAGGCCACGGTTTTACTCAGAAGACAAAAAATGCCCTACATTTAATGGCTTTATTAACGGTTCTTGTTTTAATTATCTGCATTGTCTTGCATGTTTAACAAGCTGCATTATATACCAGGGCTTTGTTGTAAATGTGCACTGGGCTGTCTTCTCTTAGGAATGAAATCGATAAAGCGGGGCTCCATCCTGCTGTTAAATCACAAAGTCTCTTACACTGACATGCTATTTTGTTTCCCAGCTTTGCAGCATGGTTTAAAAGGGCTTCCACAAAATAGTCTTGTAATGTAGTCCTCAGAAGAGGCAGCTTTTCAATGTGATTGATCTTAAAGGAGAAGTCCTTAGAGATTAAATCATTTGGGTCTGAAGGTCATGGGGATACCCATTAGCTTGATGCTTAAAAATCCATGTTTTGTTTTGTTTTACCAATATACTTTGTCAACCCTGAAATTATTTTTAAATAATAGAGGCTAGGCAATAAGTGTCCCTTTTCCGTCATTCTGTCTGGCAGCAAGAATCAGATTTTTAGCTGCTTGTTAAAAGTGAAATTTGGCTGCCTCATTGAAAAGTTAGTATTACCATTTATATGCTTCAATATGAAGGTTAAAAAATGGTTACATTTGCATTATCGGTAGCTTAATAAAGCATGTTTCCTGTGAATGTCACCAAAGACACTCAGTTTGTCATTCTGCAAATACATGAATATTTCAGTGTTTTTATTACAAGGCCAGTTGCATCATTCACAATAAATAGTGACTTTACTGATGACGTTTAGATGTAAATCTTAGAGGCTGCAATGCGCTATACACACTGTTTGTATTTCTGTGCCACTCTAGTGGCTTACGCTTCAGATTCCCCTCTCCCCTCAGGTCTGCTTCTTGATCTCTAATGATGATTAATGTAGGCTGTGTGCTTATTGGCACCACTGTGTTATTGGCATACTGACAGGACCGTTAAGATGGATAACTATGCAAGTGTGTGTACGTATGTGTAAGTGTGTGAGAGCCAGCAGTAGAGCTGTGAAATCGATTGATTTGTTTGTCTGGTCAATAAGAAAATTGATTTGTGGAAGAGGCTGAAAAACAACACCTAAATTAAACTTGGGCTCTGATTTTTTTCTGTTTGTTGAATCTTTTATAACTGTGCCACAAACAACAGAAAACTCTGCTTTGTGCTTGAAAACATTTCTCTTTTTTTTTTTCCTATCTGTTTGTGTGTGTGCAGGAGATGGTCCGTCGTGGGGAGATCTTGGACGACAGCATGGAGGATGAGTTTTACCTTCGTCGTCTGGACGCCGGGCTATTTGTTCTTCAGTTGATCTGCTACATTATGGTGGAGATCAGCAACTCAGGAATCCCACAGGTACACACACATGCGCACGCATGCACGTATGCGCACGCACGAGGTCAAATTGCTTTTAATGGGTGCAGTTTGTTAAAGTGTTACAGTTATGTAAAGTGTTACAGTTGCAGGCAAAACAATACTACTTAGGCATTTGACTTGCATTATGTCACAGTCTATAACGCTGTGTCACTACTGTTACACTGTAATACTGCTGCTGAAACCTTTTGACAGGGTTAAATTCTAAGGCTAAATTCTACTGCCTGCAAGGTGCAACCACTGCATTGTTTTCTATATTGTAAAAAATATGAATGAAATATTGTGATAAAGATTTGAGGAAATATTTCCCAGCACTAGTGTTTAAAAGGCCTAGTATAACATAAAAGCCACTATAGTAGAGTCCAAGAATAAACATATGGAGCAAACAATTAGCTTAAAGTTGAACATTTTAAGCTAAGCAAACTAGCATTAACTCAAAGTGGAAACTGTCTTTTTACCTACAATGTTACCTTTAGTTCTTGTTTAGCACTAAAATACAGACGAAGTAATAAGACACATCAAAACAAACAACAATATACAGCCTTAAATAATAGGAATTCTATTTTCTTTTCTTTTTTGTCTGCATGTAGCTTCAACAGAGGGTCCATCAAATTCTTAACCTAAGAGGAGGTTCTGTCAAAGTAGTGCGCCACATCATGAGAGGTGAGTAACTTTATCATCTCAATATTTCCTTAGTATCTCTGCTACTCTGCTGCACATAAACATACAGACACTGTTTTATGTGAAAACATATGGGGAGCGCATTAACATATAAATGTGTTTGATCAATACACAAAAAGTTATTAGTATTTTTTAAGCGCTGTTAACGTGAGTAAAGCATTTTTAACATAGCTTTTTATTTTGGATGTTTATGTTATTTTACTTTGCAAACAGGCAAAGTTATTTTATAAAAACCCAAAACAGCCAGGGTTAAAATTAATCAGTTCCTTTTTGCTGGATAACAACCTGCACGCCTTCTCCCCAGGCCATTCTTCTTTGGCAAATCTCTCAAGCTTCTACAAATTTGACAGAGATAGTTCTTTACAAGGAGCTACGCATGTTTTGAGTTGTGTTTATGTTGGAGGACAAAATGACGACCCAGATCCAGTTTGGCTTCTGACTGTTGAAATCTTCAGATATCTTTCATTTTCTCAAGTCCAAACTGAGTTCTGTTGTCTTTTGGCATGATGCTTTCACAGGTGACTGCTCAAACTCTCGCTGAAGTTTTTATATTGTGGAAGAAAATCCTCAGTTTTAGCTTGATTTTACAAACTTTGAGTATTACAGTACATAAAGTTGAAACACATCATTGCACAGCGGTGGTTTGATAAAAAGGTTAGTTTTTCAGAAGGCAAATAGTACTGCTTTTGCTTTTTCTGAAGTAATTATGTTATTGTATGCTTAGAAATGCTATGTTATAAATTCTTTGCTCCGTTAAAAAAAGCAGTTGGAAGAATTCTGACAAAAACTTCCATTCTGATAGTCCTCATCTATCAAATTGAAAGTGTGAAATAATTTTCTCCTTATCTTCATACTCTGCAATAATCTGTAGTGACACATTTCTTAGCACAGGCCTTTCCCGTGACTTTATACCAAATCTACAGGTTGATCTGGGACCTTGCCCAAAAGCATAGATCCTTCACTTTAGAGTGAATGAGGATAAAAGTAGAAAAACTGCGTATTTTGAAAGGGCAAAGTGGTGCCTTCAAAAGCTGATCTTACACCCACAGAGATTTATATTACTTTCAGAAGTGCATTTTATTGACACATTTTGTAAAATCCTGTTTCCAAGTGCTTCTCAGCCTGGCAAGGAAACAGCATTTCAGGGGAAAATGTTGGTATAATCGCTGTTCTTTGGCTCTGGTTATTGTTTGATAGCAAGCCTGTGCTGTTCGCCTGCCAAAGTGGTTAGGTTGGAATATAATAAAATACCACAAATAATGTCATATGCTCCTGTTCTCTTGAACAAAGAAGTAGGCCTGGGGAGACCCTGTCACTCTGACCTTTGTTTAGTACATTCTTCCTTTGCATTTGCACTAGCAGAGGTCACACTTGGGACCTTGTATGAGAGGGGTGTTTTTAATATTTAGACTGTCCTGAAGATTACGATATAGAAAATTCAGATGGAAAAATAAACACGATAAAATCGAGCATCTAAAATATCCAGGCAGATGTGATCGTTTGTTTTGTTTTTGTTAATTGTATTACCTTCCTGCAGATGGTAAAACAATATGATGAAATTGAGCCTGGCTTGCAAATCTGAACCGATCATATTGTCACTGAGTAGAGCAGAGACAGTCTGTCTGTCCTTTATTCACTTTTTTCCACTTAGCCAGAGATTTCTCCTCGTGCTATATTTGTTTTCTGCCGTCAAAGACCTAGCAGGTTGTGTTATTTCCTTCGCAGCGCGACATCCATCCTTCCCGTATCATTGTCGGATAAAGCTCGAGGACGTGGCTCCGTTCACACACCCTCTGGCTCTCTGTGGCATGTAACACTGTAGATAGAGCCATCCGTCACACATGGCACTGCCAGCAAGCGTGGCATTTCTCCAGTCCTCCCCGTGTGCGGGTGTGCAGGAATTTGTATCCTAAATGTGGCTGTGTGACTCTTTGTTTTCATCTGCATATTTGCATACACGCACATCGTGCTTGTCCACACTATGTTTTTGCTTACTTACAGAGTTTTTTTGTGTGTGTGTGTGATTGCCATTAGCATGTCTCCATATTTATTTGTACGCACATGTCCTTGCTTGCTTTTATTTGCATATTTTTTAGATATTAACAAACCTTTGAGAGGAAATCCTTGCAGATGTTTACTTCATTTCTGATTCAGTTTGCATTCTGTACCCGTGCCTGCCCTTGAATGTTTTCTACATATTAATGTGCATGTTAGGTATCCTTGCATGATCTTGATGTGACTTACTTTTCATAAACTATATTGTGTTTATGTGTTCTGCAAATAACTGTGCGTCCGCATACATAATAGCTTAGAGCCATTGCATATGTCTATCATAATTCATCTGCGCGCGTGTGGTTCAGTGACCTCACCCTTTCTACTACCTCCCATTTCAAGTGCCCCACCCGGTCAATGTTAAACCACAGGAAAAGGTTAAGCACATGCAGTGTGTGTCGCCTGCTCTGCTATCTTGACCTTAACGGCTTTAGCTTACTGAAGGAAAAAAAACTGCTCCGCAGGAACAATTTTGCTTGTGTTGTGAAGTTTTTGGTTTTGAATTCTGAGGTTATGATTCTCCTTTTTTTAAATGTTTCAGTTGTGATAACTTTATATAATAATACTTGGATTTTTACCAAAGTATTGAAGCTAATTCTTACACTTAAAGTTATGATACTAGTAGTTTTGAGCCTACAGTGGACAAAAATGAATGCAATTCTTAAATATTCAGTGTAATACCTTCAAATAAAACTGAAAGTCTGCACTTCAAATTATTTTAACACAATGAAAACCAGCCTTTGTGCCATTGAACTGTACCATTGACTAAAACGGTACTTAAGCGACTGTGTCGATTAAGAAGTTGGGTTCTTTCCTGCAGCACATTCTTGTGGCGTGAATCTTTATATCAATAAAGATGTTAGAATAGTTTTGGGGGTTTTAAATCAGAGACCACCCTGACTAACTGCTGATGCAAACTCTGTTATTTTGTTCTGTAAGAAGTTCAAAAAAGAGCTTCAAGGTTTACGCCTAGTAGGCCTTCAAGAGGTAAAGAAAGAAAAAGGTGCAAAAGAAGTCTTTACGCTGTATTTAAGCTAAAGGTGGAAGTTGACCAAAATATTGAAACCCTTCCTCACCCTCCCATCACAAAAAAGAACAGTTAAGTAATGTCAAGCCCTTATTCCAGGGATTAGAAATTATGGCTCCCATGGTATCGTGTGGGATAAGAACATGTACTAAAGAAAGAACTTGCAAGACTTAAAAATACAAACTATTGCATTTAGTGTAAGTAGCAAAGTCCATCTTACACAGACTTTCTCTGAAAATATCAAAAATATAGACATAGATAAAATTAATTTTCGTTTGTTAGATGTGCTGATGAAACTGGTTTATGAGAAGAAAAAAAAAAACGGATTTCTTTTTTTGAAGCTTATGTCTTGCTAAATGTTGTCATGGTATCCAGATTTTAGCTTTTTAGCTTTTGCAGTATCTTTTTTTCCCACTCTCTTTGTTTGTTTGTTAAAAGGCAAACTGCATGATGATTATAGACGGTAGGTTACCCCACTGTGGGCATATTCTGTACCAGCTGTCCTTTGTTCAGTGGGATCACAGTGGCTTGAGACTGGTTTAGCAGTGTTTTAAATGACTTATGGTGCTCCAGCTGCAGCTGTAATCACGCTGAAAGTCCTATAGCGTGTCCCTATCCTTGGCTGCCGTTGCAGAGGCTGCTCCTGGAAATGATTCTCCTTGTATTCATGGCAGATCCGTCCCAGTCACTGACCTGAGTAATGGCGATGCTCACTACTGTATTGTCCTCTGCCGTGTTGCCGTGGTGACAGAAGGAGAGGGTACCAGCATGCCAAAGAAAAGGTTCTGCAGAGAGTTGAAGAGTCACGGAATCTCTGACCTCTCTGTCTGTGTGGCTGACTGCAACACCATTTATAGACATGGAGACACTGGCACTCGGTCACAATGACAGGCTGGCAGTAATAGAGGCCATAGATTATCATGTTTTTGTTGAGTTGCTTTCTCTGAGTTGCCCCTCACCTGCTTTTCTCAGTCACCCTTAAAATTGTGCCTTTTTAAGTAAGTCTCATTCGCATCCAAACCTCTGCGGATCAAATTAAAATCCCTGATTCTGACATTCAAGGCTTTTGTATTTGCACTGTGGACGAATCTGCATCCTCATATCTGCAGATGCTGGTCTAACTTTACACTTTCTTAACTTTATGCCTAGTGCTGTGGCATGCTATAACCTAGCTCTCCCCTGAATACTCAATGATGGAGTAACCCAAGCGGATTACTGTCATCCTGAGCGTCTTCTGACCTGAGCTCAGTGTTTGTACTTCTAGAAGCACTTCTTGTAGCGTGCTATGCTGCCTTTACTTCTAACTTCTTTCTAATGTTGCTCAAACTTAAATACATGTCTGCAGTCTCACTTCAGTTATTTTTTTGTGGTAAAGTAAGGTCTGCTCCTGTCTGCATGCCAAATATCCTTGGGGAAAGTACTAACCCCAAGTTGCGAATGTGTGGATGTTAGATAGGAGCACTTGTATAGAAAGAGTATCGAAAAAAGTGCTTGTGTGAATGGATGAATGAGCAAAGTTGTGTAAAGTACCACTACATAAAACCACTACATAAGGTCCATTTACCATAAAAATATGAAAATCTCTTTTTGCGTCTCCGGTAATCTCACTGTAGCATTCATCTCTACTCAACATTTAAATAAATATACCCTTCTTATCAGGTAAGAAAAGGCAAGAATTAAGCTTGGAAGAAGTGTGGGTTTAGGTATTTAAGCTCATTGTCATCTTAGTGCTTTAAAGAGACATTTTTTTCTTTTTCTTAAATAGTTTTAATAGTTTTAGCTATAAGGTATTATCATTATCTCTCTACAAGTTTCACTGTACAGAACAGTCAAAGAATTATGCATTTTTCGAAAAATCTCTGTGTTAGCTCAAGCTGTTTAGAAGAGAAAATCAAAACTTGGCATGAATTTCTTGCATAAAGCTGACAATAAATGTCAGACTCAACTGTACGCACAGCTTGGCATTTTCCATTTATTTACTCTCAGATTTACCTCAGACTTCATCTTAGTGAAGTAAGCAGTGACCCAAAAAAAATGAAACTAACATGGAAGTGGCCAAACTTGGCTAATTACTCCATTCATTACAACTTTGCAGGGACTTGAAATTCTGCTTTTACTGACTACAGTCTACTCATCTATACTTTTGCTGTACTGTGGGCTTTAAAGCATGATAAATGCTATCTCCAACTGAAGCATGGTGTTAAAATCATGTGAAATATTTTTCTTCTTTTAGAATTTCTGAATGCAAATTTTATACATACATATTTTGATCTACAAAGGTTGACATTACTTTCCATGAGTGGCATTACAAAGTTAAAATTCCTAATGAAAAAGAATGCATCATGCTGCATTTAGGTGTTATTTGTTGTGGTGAGGAAACATAGAAAGTGTTATTGTTAATAGCTTTCCTATTGAATAAGAGTTAGAGAAAGATATTTATTAATCACTGTTAGGGCTGTTCGATATAACGATATATATCTGATGACGATATAAAAACGTCTATCGTTTAATTTTACGCTATCGTTTGTTTCGCGGTGTCGCAAAATAAACTGTTTACAGCAATATTTTTTCATAGTTTTGATGGTTACTGTAGTGGTTATATTAATTAAAGTTCTCTTTTTCTCTTATATATATAACCACACTACGGACCGACAAGCGCCTGTTTTTATGCGTTGTCTTTAGCAACAACGATGGTAAAACCATCGCTCACGTGTCCGCTTGTTTATTTTCCACATAAACCTTTCACAATAAAGCTCAAGATCCTGTTGAGACTTTTCAAAATAAACTGAATCACGCGAAAGAGTATGCAGAGTATTTTCGGATGAGAAGCAAAAAAGACTGTCAGGTGCTAAAAAATAAACCTTAGACTTAGACGTTAGAACAGGCTTTTCCCCGCAGCACGCCGTGTAATAAATACTCACAAAGAAAACGGCGGCCATTACAACTTATGTCTAAAAATGTATCATTTCATGCATCAGTTAAAACACTCGACTCCACGTACACGACACCCAGCTGGAAACACTTCACGCAAGACGAGCAGCCTGAGATTCACAGAATTTACAAAAAAAATTTAAATTTTTGTGATTTATATCGTTTCAGATGATAGATGTCTTATATCGGGATATGAGATTTTGTGTCATATCGCACAGCCCTAATCACTGTAGACAAGGACAACTTTATGCACTTGGTCAGCTAAGGAGTTTAAAAGTGCTACTGGTTTTAAATAATGAGTTAAAACCAATTACCATGCCATTTAAGAACCATGAAATAGCTATTAATGCTCTCCCATACTACTCTGATAGATACAGATTTGTAGGATGTAGCCATACAGTGGCCAGAAGGTGTGCTAGGCATGTCTGCATGTTAGCCCATTCTTCTTTGGAGAATCTCTCAAGCTTTTTAACATTAGATGGTCGTCTGGGATGGACCTTGATCTTCAGTTCACCCCACAGATTTTCAGTAGAATTCAGATCAGGGCTTTGTGCTTTGGTTCTTGTTGTTCTGGAAGATAAAAACGATGACCCAGACCAAGTTTACCTGCTGACTGCTTGAGGTTTATTTTTCAAAGTAATCCTATATCCTTTTTTCATGATTCCTTCCACCTTGACGAGATTCACAGTTCCAGATACACTGTGATCTTTGGGTTGTACACCTCTCCCTTCTTTCTCCAAAGAAGTCTACATAATCTTTCTCCAGGTTATCATTAGCGTGCTTCAGTCTGGCTTGAATGTGTCTCTTTTCTTGGTCTGCAACCTCACGGTCCATTCCTGTGCAGGGTTCTAGTGATTATCTTCTTTGGGACTACATTTCCCAACATGGCTAAGTTCACTCGTGTCTCTGCATTTGGTCTGGGGTCTCAAGAAATATCTCTCACTTGTTTTCTTTCCAGTGTCCTTGAAATAGTTCCCTTCCTACCTCTGCCAGGCTTGTTCTGTGCTGCGTGGCTCTCTTTGAATTTATAGTTGATACTTCTCACTCCAGTTCTTGACACGTGGAAACACTTTTTTTTTTGTATATCCATATCCTGCTTTTTGAGCATCAATGCATTTTTTTTAAAGTCTAAACTGATTTCTTTTGTTTTTGTCAGAACGATGAAAAATTAAGAAACAGGTCCTTATAAAACCAGAAATAACATAATAAATAATTTTGCCTGTTCCTCTAGAACATCTGTAGACAAGTAGTATTCTTTTACAGTATCTCTTGAGGTTCGTCCTCAGCCCTATTACATCTGTCACTATCCTTTATGTACAATCTAATAACATAAAAACATCCTTCTACCCTCAAAAGCAAAATCTTCTCTGTGTCTTTGGCAGCCATTCTTTATCCTCCTAAACCCTGCGGGCTCTTGTGAGGAAAGCCCCCCTTCATTCTCGTCTCTCTGAAGTGTCTCCCAGAGAAAAATAGTCTTTTTTTTTATTATTATTTATTTATTTTTTATTCCATCTTTCTGTCTCGACATCCCTGGGTTTAATGTGTAATCCCTGCCTCAGAGGCTGGGTGAGAGAGACGCCGGATGCACGGACTCCGCCGGGGCTGCGGCAGCTGCAACTTTCTGCACATTAGACTCACAAATCGACCGTCGCGCTGTCTCAGAGGGCTCGTGCGAGAGGCAGACAATAAAGAAAACAGTCAAATGTAGAGCAGTCCACACTTAAGTACAAGCACTGCACAATACACCTGGACCGGTTACTGAGGAAACGGGGTAGATTTCAGTGCAGCCACTGCTGCAGGGCGTCTTATTATAGAAAAGCCCTTTTCTTTTCTTTCTTTCATTCCACAGGAAACATCCTATAATTTGACTTTTTGTTGAAAAGTGATGTACAGACTGAAGAATGTCTAGACTAGAGTGAAAGGCTATTTAATAACAAAATCCTTTTAATGCATAGTTCCCTTTCGCTTAGTCCTTTTAATATACAGAGAATAGCTTTCACTCTTCCTCCTGAAGTTACAGCGTCTCTGCTCTGCTTCTTTCTAATTATTCAGCATTTTAAGTGCAGGAAGCAGGCGTCATTGGCAGTAATTTCTAACTGAACTGCAGACTTGCCCCAGGGCCCTTGATGGTCAGTTTCTCAAATCAGCTTGCATGCATAATTCAAATTATATTTGTATTCAGTCAGTTTTAAATTAATCAGCACAAAGTAAAGCTGAAGTGAGGTGGTGTTTCAGGACCAGAGCACTGGTTAGTTTTTGGTGGCTTTGACAAAAACCCATCTCATAAATTTTTGTTTTTCTATGAATATCTTTGCATTTTTGTGTCTGTTTTATTGAACAAATGAATTATTGAACCTGCATTACTCTAATTAAACTTCTTCCTAAACCTGAAGTGTACGTTGTTTTTCTTCCCTCATTCGCCTCCTGTTCAGTGCCGGAGGAGGACCAATTCTGTCAATTTCTGGCTCCAAGCATGTTCTGTTTAACCGCAAAATTTAGAAGGCCCACGGCTGTGCTGTCAAGCCAACTAATCCTCTGATTTTTCTTTATGTATTGCAGAGTACGCCGAGAGCATCGGAGATGGAAAGAGCGATGAGTTCAAAGAGGCCGAGCGGAAGAGGATCATGGACCTCGCAGACAACTTCTAAGCTCACTTCTTCTCTTGCAGACGCTCACGCTTTCCCACCCTCAAACACGAAGAACCCCGGTGATCATCAAACCCAGAAAATTAATGATTAAATGAACAGAAACAGCTAAAAGCATTCAGTGGAGGGAGATTTGGTTTCATGTGAGAAAGAATTTAAAATTACAGCCCTAAGTTAATAATTTCCTTTTTGTCTACTTGTCTAAGTCTTGTGTCAGAGAATTGGTTCAGTTCCAAATAAGATGTTTACTGCAGACACAGTGGGAGTTGAGTTTGGAAGGCAGAAAATTGTATCTTGACTGAAACACCCAGCCAGCAAGACTACTCTCAGCAACAGTGCTGTTTATTTACTGAACTCTGGTGTTGGACACTGCAGGATAATCATGGACACAGATTTTAAACTCAGAAATTCCCCCCTCAAAGCTTTTTACCTGGCGAGTTTTTGTTTGGTCTGTTTTGTTTCTGTTTTTGTTTTTTATGGATTTAGGTGTAAAATATTTTCTAATAAAAACATTTGGTGATGGAATTCTGATGGCCATTTTGATTTTGATTAAATGTCGTGTTTTACAGCGTGGGATTGGCACAGCAAGCTGATAACAGTCTGTGCACATGAATTTCATTATGCCCCCACTTGGTTACTGTTGCACGGACGCGCAGATGGAGACAGCAAGCCTATATCTGCAGCCCCGTTCGCAATATTAGAATCCTTGCGGAAAGGCAGACCTGCTTCTTCTTTACTTGTCTAAACCCACCCACGGATGGATCGCAGCAGCCTCCCAGAGCTCTCAACCCACTGCTGTTTTTCGTTGACGCTGATGCTGTTCACGCACATCAGTGAGGAGGTGGATTACAGTACAGCTGTGTACACAAACAGACCTACTGCATTATTGTCTCTGTCTTGTCCGCCAGGCTGCATCTTTGTTTGGGAGGGAAAAAAAACGTTATGAATTACATGTTAACTGAGAGAATATCAGCCTAGTATCATCATTATCTGATAAGAGTAATTTCTATATAAAGACTGAATTTACGCTTTGGCGACAGTGGGAAGGAAAAACTAAATTTTAACAGGAAGAAACCTCCAGCAGAGCCATGCTCCGGGATAGGCATCCCGGAGCTTGGGGGTGACCGTGGCTCAGGGGATTGGGAAGCGAATCTGTAACCGGAAGGTTGCCGGTTCGATCCCCGGGCTCTCTGTCCTGGTCGTTGTGTCCTTGGGCAAGACACTTTACCTTACCGCCTACTGGTGTTGGCCAGAGGGGCCGATGGCGCGATATGGCAGCCTCGCTTCTGTCAGTCTGCCCCAGGGCAGCTGTGGCTACAACCGTAGCTTGCCTCCACCAGTGTGTGAATGTGAGAGTGAATGAATAATGGCATTGTAAAGCGCTTTGAGTGCCTTGAAAAGCGCTATATAAATCCAATCCATTATTATTATTATTATCCATCAGCCGGCCACTGGTTGGGGATGAGGGGAAGGAGACAGGACAAAAGACACACTGTGGAATAAAGTCAGAGATTGGAATAATTAATGATTTAATGCAGAGTTGTGTATAAACACATGGGAATCTCCCAGAAACCTAGACCTATTGCAGCATCCCTAAGGGAGGATACAGGGTCACCCTAATTATTATTAAGTTTCATCAAAAAGGAAAGTTTTTAGCTTATCTTAAAAGCAGAAAGGGTGTCTGTCTTCTGAATCCAAACTGGGAGCTGGTTTCACAGAAGAGCGGCCTGAAAGCTCCCCCTCTTTCTTCTTTGTAATACATGAGGAACCACAAGTAAGGCACGAGTCTGAGAGTGAAGTGCTTCATTGGGCTGATTGAAAATAAAATTAAATACAATCATTTTGTGTTATTGACTGCAAATACTGGACAGGTTTTTTTTTTTCTTCATAGGTGCAGAGGCAGAAGTTTAAGTGATGAACTGTGTTAGACTTGTGCAGGACACTTGTGTCGATTATGGTCATTGCTAAGTCAGGCCACACACCAATTTTAGATTTTAGCTGAGGATTCTTAAATCTAAAATATCCACCTTCATACTAGCTTTATACTTGATAGATGTTGAGAAGCAGGTGTTATGTCTAATTATATCTTGTTGAATTAAGTTGGTTAAATCTACAAAGAGCAATAAACCTCAGAGCCAAATTTATTTAGAACATTGATACAGTTGCATATGGTTGTGCCCAAGTCCATCTGAGCCTATTAATAGATTTATATGACGCAGTTATGTCAGGTTTCTGTCAAAACACTCAGACAGGGCTCAAAGATCAGAGCCTGTTCTTATCACAGGTAAAGATTTCTGTGCATCTGAACCATAGATGATGACGATTAAATATTAAGATTATTTGCAGATCTAAACTATTTGACTGTGGAGCACAGAAAGTGCTTTTCTACCTTGAAAGGTTCAGCCTCGGTTCGATTTTTTTTACATTGATGGCTTCTTGATGGTTTTTATTACACTATATCCCAACTTTTGTTTAAAACGGGCTTACATTATCAATCACCCATTTAAGCACACCATGTCCTCTCCAGATCCTTGACCATGACTGCTGACAGGAGGCAGCAGTGGTGGGAGGGACTGGGTGGGATACTCACTGACAGCTGCCACATCTGCTGCATTTCCTAAGTGCCTTTACAAAGTCTAATATCACTCAGTAACAAGATGGGTAGAGCGGCGGGGCGTCGTTTGCATACCGTATTGGCAGAGGAGGCCCAGCCCCATGCATCTCCTATCAGTGATTATGACTGCAGCGTGTTTAACAGCGGTTGTACAGCAATTTCACAGCCGAGGGGAGGGAGAATAATTGTATTTTCCGAATGACTGAGTGCAAACACTGTGCACCACTGTGGTTTTGAGCTTTTCTCTTTTTAGTAGGGAAGAAGGTATTCTGATATTGAGAGTGAGCAGAGGGATTGGTAAAGTTTGCAAAACAGACACCTAAATGCTTTGATATATATAGATAGATAGATAGATAGAGAAATAGATCTGCACACACACCAGATTAAATCTGTAAAGCTAACATGTAAGGCTAAATATAGCTCTGTAGCTAAGTCTTATTTGTATTAGCACTAATAATATTTAGGTTTGAAATGTTGGCATAATAAAAGCTGTGTATTTTGACCCTCAGTAAACATGGCAAGAAATAACAAGAGCAGGCTGAAAGCAGTGTGATGAGGGGGGAAGGATGGCAACAATCTATGTATACTGCCAGGCAAAATCACTGTATGCGACTTTCGCTAAACACATCTAGCAGGCCGGGAGTTGACATATTCAGTCATGAGCTCGCCCATGTAGACAGCAGACACTGAGTAAGCATACCGGTGGTGACAGGGAAAGAGGCAGGCTGGCTGTTTAACACCCTCTACCTATATTAATGGCTGTCTAAGGTAAAGGAAGAGACAGCAGAAAACCTGAAGCAGACAGGTGAGATTTGGTCTAATGACAACCATCTCTTATTGGTTTTGAATTCAGTCTGCTGGCAGCATGGTGCCTTAACTGCCCCGACTGGTCGATCGATATTGGTGGGGTACATGTGGCCGTGAGTTTACACCACTGAAACGGATTTTTCCTTAAGCCCTCAGCATCATCAACTTTGCCTCATTAGCAGTTCGCATACATAAAGCTAACAGCACTAAAACTCGCAGGCTCGAAAAAAGTTAATTGCTCCTGTAGTCCAAATGCCGCTCTGCGCCAGAACTCAGCATAGGGGCTGAACTTATTGCTGCATAAGATGTTTCCACCAGAGTATCCACTCTCGCTCCCTACTGTGAAAATAGTTTTTCAGGGAGACCTGGCAAAATATTACTAGCACACATACAACTGTAAGTGTGCCCTAATGGCACCCCTGCAAAGTGACTATCAGGTATTACAACCAGAATGACAAGCAAAACAACAACAGTGTCCTCCTAGCGAGTTATGCTCTTGCTCAAATTCTGTTCAATGTCCTACAAGCACCTATGATTGAGGGAAAAACAGGAAAAACTGAAAGAATGGTGTTAGTGGACAGGAGGAAAAAAATACTATGAAAAATTGTTTCCTGCCTCCAAAACAAAGAATGCATAGCTTTCACAAGGTTATTGGAACAAAACACTGGACAAATTATGTTGAACGGGCAATATTTGATAGAGAGTGCAATGCTACTGCATACTGACCTAAGACTAGAGGGGCAGCTGCCCCTTTATTCAATATTTCAACTGTGCCTTGTGTGAAACAGACCCACCACTGGAAAATAACACAAATACATATCTTAAGCTAAGTAATTCAAAGTTGTGAGCTAGACAGAAACATTAAACAAAATATAATAAAACATATTATAAGTTACATATGTGTATTCAAAGTAAAGTTTTAATTTCTTTTTTGCACAATTTTTAAGACAAAAAAATCCAGTTAGCAGAGCTGATAAGAAAAAAAAACACCATCCAGAGTTTTATGTTATTTTGGTTAACAAGGTGGACAAAAATGATGCTCTTGGCTGGGCTGCCCTATATTGAGAAATCTGATCTCTATACTGCTCATGCGAACAGCAGTGAGGCTACATTTCAGCACCACGGACAGCTACACAATACGCAGGCAGCGTGCCCCTGACATCAGTCTCTAAGGCAAACAAACCACACACCAAATCAGCGATGAAGCTCATTACTGTGGCTCTGCTAGTCTAAACAATGCAATGAATCAGTGAGCAGACTGTCAGCTACATCAAAAGAAACAATTATTTCCCACCACTCCCAGTGGTTCACATTGGACGCAAGAGGTGAGCTATGAGACCCCCAAACAGCGCCAATGTATGTGGGTGCACAGGAAACACTGGCGTGGACAGGAAAAAAAAGCAGTTAGCCATATGTGGTTGCGATGCCCACTGTGGGCTCAGTTATTTCAGAGTTTAGCAGTGTGTGTGTACAGTGATGAAACGAGCCACTGGCTCTCACTACATGTAGTGAGAGCAACACTTTGTTTACCCAATCCTAATTTTTGATACCTCCCTTGCACGCTTGTCTGGTGAAAAAACACATCCGCGACGACATTAACTCATGTTATGAAAACATTATAATACTAAAATACTAATTAGTTTGAATACTAGCTTAATAAGGGTTTTCAGCTTTTATTGGCCTCGCGCCGCTTCATAAAAGCGGATTTCGTTAATGACAAATTCAGCGTCATTAAGTTTGCTGAATGCTTGTAATATCACTCCTCTCATAATTGATATTCCCCACTGCAAGCCGCGGCACTTTCTAATGGGGGAAAAGTCTCCCTCCGCCGCATGTAGGACCGAGTGAGCGGAAGCAGAGCCACATTCACTCAGTCAGTCAGTCAGCTGGCACAGGAGGAGGCTGCGGCGACTTCCTCGTTATTTCTCGCAGGTATCCCACTCCCTTCGTCGCCAGAACAATCCTTCCGGATTAAACAACAACAAAAGAAAGAAAGAAAAGAGAAAAATTTTGTTTTCGACGTGCACTCCACTCGATGTGAAAAAGAGCGCGAGACAAAACATAAGCGAAATGGGAGCGTTC